GAGACGAGAACCGGTGACGGTAGAACGGAGAAAAACGAAGACGAGAACCGAAAACAGAACAGGACAGGGACCGATAACAGACGAACTGACAACAAGACAACAAGACACCGGCGACGAGGATTTACAACAAAAAACAGACTAGAACCGAATAATATAGACGAGGACTGATGACAGAAGAATGAAGACGGGGATCGATAACAGAGACCGGGACCGATGACAGAATAATTGACAACAAGAAAACGGAGACCAGGACTGAAGAATAGAGACGAGAACCGATTACAGAAGAACGAAGACGATAGCAGAAAAACAGTTAAACATCTAACAACAAAAGAACTGAGACCAGGACCGATTACAGAAGAATGAAGATCACGACCAATAACAGAAGAACTGACAACAAGAGAACTGCGACGAGGATCAATAACAGAAGAAGGAAAGTCACGACCAATAACAGAAGAACTGACAGCAGAGAAATGCGACGAGAACCGATAACAGAAGAACGAAGATGACGACTGATAACAGAAAAACGAACACCAAAACCCAAGAGTACTCAGAAAAAGGGGCCTTTAATTAATGTATATTTACGCTGTGAAATATAAATAGGCATCTGAGTGTCAGATAAAATCTAGCAGATAGGGCAGGAAAGAGTGTAGTGTTCGCTACGTAAACCCTAAATTTACATGTTTAAATGCCTTAACATTTTCAGTACTATATTACTATAAAATATCTGCCATCTTGGATTTTCGGCCATATTGGATTGTTTTTTTACATGCTTTGTGACAAATTGCAGGCTTTTCCTTTCCTTAAAAGTTTTATTTGATATATCATCCATTTATGATAAAAAAAAAATTGGCGGCCATTTTAGTGGTCATTTTAAATGGCCATTTCAATGGTCAAGATCAAGTTTTTCAATTTGGTATCCACCTTTATCGGATTCAGCAAACCTTAAATAGGTAAAATACACCAAGATACCACTTGTACTACAAAATGCCTCTAGCATCTTAAAGGAAGCCAAATTTGAATACTACACCAGAGTTTGTGTACCTTCAAAATCTTCCTGTGCTTCAGTGTGACCACGACCTTAGACGCGACACATCATCATGACGTGGTAGACATTTGTGCCAATTGTTAAAAAAATCTTCAATGCATGACAAAGTTACAGACCGGACACGAATGATGTGTAAGTGGGTACGGACAGACAGACAGATAAACGGACGGGGGCATAAAAAAAGCAGATTTGCTTTGGTCGAGTATCATTTTTAAAGATACTTCAAACATTGTGTTTCTTGTTCGCAATTTAGGTCAAACAATTGACTCTAAAATGTCCGTATATACTTTAGAATTTTACGACTTTTATAACTCCAAAAGTAGTGCACAACGCTGAGTGTAACCTTGAATTGCTTGAATTGTTTGCAATGAATCATTTACAATACAATATAGTTTCGATATTAATTTTAATAAATATGAAGATTCTCAATTTTAACTGCGCGATAAATGATTATTTACAGTGTCGTCTCCTCAAGCAATTTTGTCGCTGGTAAGTTAATCTAACTTTAAAGCTGCATGCCTACAGATGAGCCAAACTATTTCAAGAAAATCAACCTTGCGAAAATTGTTCTAAGATTTTAAGATGAGTAAAAATATTCACAATTTAATAAATAATGTTCATGTTATATGCAGTTAATGACCGATTTTGCAGTATTTATCTCCATATTGCTACTGTGTTATTTACGCATCAATGTGTATTTTTGAATACTTTGACCTCTTTTTTGTAATTTACGTGGATTGTAAAGTGCCGTTTGCAATTAGTAAATTACCTCCTTTGTTAGTTTGACAATATTAAACTTTCTAATACATTTTAAAAGATTTCATGAATCCGTAGGCATGCTGCTTTAAACTTGACATATTAATTGTCATAAATGGCACTCCTAAAATGCTGGGGATGGGATTTTCATTACTCTGAAACTTGATTTCAAAGATTTCGAATATAACATTGTTCATAAACCCGGCGACACGTGAATGAATCATCGTTTCTAAGGCGTCCTAATCGTGCCATTTATTATGTCGTTCCTCACGTTTAAGGGTCGACACACGACAATGCGAAGTGACATCGCGACCATGCAATTCTGCATGTACACTAGACAATGCAAAGTCACATTTGAATAATGTTGCGCTTTTTTGTCCAAACGACATGTGATATTTCGTTTGGCACATTGTCGTTAAATATAAATGACACGATAGGGACACCGTAATTTCCATATTTATATTTAAAGGGAAGAAACTCTTACACGATAGTTTGAATTAGTCTGATCAAATTATGGTAATCAGAAGGAATTGAAGTTAAATGAACAGATTTGCAAATTGTACGATGAGTTGCGCCGGAAAGTTTTAATCAGTGATCTAATGATCTAAGCTACTCCGAGTTATTTATAAATGTCAAAATCGTTCAGCTCGCACTTACACACACGAATTTTCTTTTTCAAAATATAAAGTAGCTAATTTTTTATGTAAAATTTAAACGCAAACCATATTACCACGCAGGTTTTACAAAGTTCAGGACCTGGCGTTATCTTTAGAGTTAATTACGCCGATAACTTAATTTTGTTTCTTCCCTAGCACGTGGTTTCTTGCATATGTTTTATTACATGTACTTTGTTTTCGAGATCTATATATACAGTGCCTTTGATTGAGATTATTTAAGTACATGCATGCTATTTGTCAATGGGCCTATAATTTACCGGATATTGATGTCTCGACGTTTTGTGCGCTATGGATGCACAACTGTAATGCACATTTTCCTCGACAGGGAAGCTGAAACTGAATACCTGCAGACGAACCCTCCGAACTCCTCAAACACATGTGTCAGTGCTATTATATCATCACATATAAACACATGATACTAGTATTTATCGTAAACTTCGCCTTACTTTGAATATTTATATATATTTAACCAGTTAGGTCCATTTCGACAAATCTCGACAATCTATGACCTAGGATAAAGCAAATATCAAATTATGTTAAAAAAAACATGAACGACTGCTTACTACGCTGTAGTTATCACTGTGTGCTTGTATTTTTAGAACTGACGAAATCGTTCTTGTTTATCGTGCACGATTTATTATAATCACGTGGCTATATATAAACATGACAATTTTTATCGTAAACACATGTCGCCAACGTGTTTAGAGTTACGTCCCCTTGACCGCAAATAAAAGAAACGAACCGCTCAAAACTTCAGAACCAGAATCACAAACAAAATCAGCTATATAATGTTCAACTGGCCAGGGTATTGTCAAATTGATCATCAGTTTGTGTCCGTCTTCCCAGAACAAACATAATAGAAATCTCTTTACTATTGTAGATGTACTATAAAGCTCCGTGTCGATATGAGGCACGATATTTTTGTTTGTTTAAGACACTATTACAGTGATATGGGGTCTTTCATCTGTGCTGGCCCCATCAGAATAGAACCACCTATCTGAAAAGTAGTTTCCTCGCACAAACTAAGAATCCAGTAATTGAGTGAGAATTTTTCCAATTAAATGCCACCGCGTTAACATACAGCTCCATAGCGCGACCTTGTCATTTTTGTCTACCGGCACAAAATAATAGTGGTTTCTATTAGAAATAATTGCCAAGCAAACAGAATTATTATAATCACTATGATGCTTATTGACCACTAGTGATATAGACAGAGCTTCACGTTTTATTGCTTATGTAATAATTATTGAACGAATTCGATGTGCAGACGGGCTAAATATCTCACGAGGTCGAAGTTTGAACAAGTCGCACCATCTCAATAGTTGTGTGTATACGATTGAAGGTTGAGAACAAAGCCTAAACTTTTTGATATTTCTATTACATTCAGTAGATTTATTGAACCAACATTCCCCCTTCTGACCTGTGTGTGTCTATTTGAGCGCTTCCAGTGCCTGCATCAATTAATTTTGCAGGTAATTAAAGTCAACATATACTTATCTGTTTTGTACCAACCAGTCATACTAAATCTAAATAGAAATATAAAAATTTTAAGGCCTTTTTTTAACATTCAATTACAGGTTTTCGAGAGAATAATTGTGATTAACTGACACGTCATGGAATCTTATTTGCTACTATATTATGTTAAGGTGAGCTAATAAAAGAAAACTAAGGGATGAAATGGCCTTGTCAAGTTGTGGTTAAGGTGTCTGCCACTCAACCCAGGGCTTGGTGGTTCAATCCTTACGTGGGTTGAAAGTCGACCACGTTTCCTCATAGAAACTTTTCACTTTTCATAAGGAATGGGTACGAGGCTATGACGATATTTTCTACGCTCAAAATCGGGTATTTCATTGGCCAGAAAATTACATAGAATGTATACTGACCAATTTGAAATTTTAAGTCTCAGAAAAGGTTTTATACCCTCCAAGCCTGGTGGAAAGGCTATAAAAGTTTTTGAGCTGTCTCAAATAGGATTTTCATTGGCCAGTGTACATTCTGTGCTGGTTTCTGACCAATCAAATGCCCAAGATCAGAGTTAGAGTAGAAAATTTCTTAATAACCTCTGACTTGGGGTAGTTTCACGGCACATTATACCTCAGAAACAAATAAATTTTTATTTTAGAAAGGGCAAACATGACTTTTATAAAGTTTTAATAAGGGTTTAATAAGGGTTTTAGAAATTGTTAGATACCTGTAACTTGAAGAAAATAGTGATAATTGTGAAATTGTTGGTCATAAACATAGAAAAATGTAAAAAAGTAATATTTAGACTTCCATACAAAATTACTATGACTGTACTTATTGCCAAAAAGGAATAGATGGTTATGGTAATAAGCCAATGAGAAACTTTGATACCAGAAAAGTATAACAAAATTAAAAAGCTTTTGAGAAATAAAAATTAAACCATTCCTGAGGCATAATGGGACTTAGAGTGGTTCAAACAAACTACAAGCTATCTTTAAAACGTGGGAAACATAAACCTTTTTAGTACTTTTTGCAACAAAAACAATAACTACTATGAATAATATTTTCTTCACAACACTTTGAAGTATTGTTTAATCCTTCCATCACTTTATTTTTTGTAAAGAGTTTTTAGTAAGTTAAGTTTATTTTTTTACAATTAACAATACAAATATGTACACTACAAATATAACAGGCTCCGGATGATCACATAAACTACGAAGTGTGTAATTTACACAACAGCACTATGTTTTACAGTGATAAATCACGTCAAAACTGATATAATAGGTTCTTGAATAAGTCATAGAAACTTTTTTTAAACCAATGTGTATAATAAAATTAATTATTCTTTATCATCGTCCTCTACAACTGCGTTTTTCATCATACGCGGAAATTTCGTGAAAGAGTAATTGTCGAACCCATAGAGATTTTTCATTTTACGTTTTCTCGAACTAGTTCTAACCGTTTTATCGTCCGGTATCACTTTCGGTGTTTGACAACCAGGGACATGAGAGGGCAACTTATTCGATATCAATCGTGACTTTTTCTTTTCATCAGAGTTATTTTTTAGCATTATTTTTTCTCTTTTTATAGGTGAAACAGGAGTTGTTATTATTCTTGGACCTGACTGACTGTTTTTATCATCTATGCTGTATTCACTGTAAGGAGAACCTTTTCCTTCCATATCGTACACTAAACTATCTTCGCTAATATCCCTCGAGTCGGACGGCAACTGATTGTTATCGAACAGTTCTTTCTTCCTCAAAAATGTCTCCCAAAGCTTGCTTTCAATTTCGTTCAAACTCTCGTCGCTTAAATCGATGGTCTGAGGTGTGGTTACGGATTGTAATCCGCCACTCACATCATGCAGATGGTGTAAGAAGTTATCGACGGACATCAACTTTCTACACGTGTAACAACGAACACATAAAGACCGTTTATTGTGATAGTGATCGACAAACAGTTCTCCCAGCTGAGACCTCGTTCTCTGCTGCACTTGCAAACTTGCTTCCCTGTGAATTATCCTTATAGGTGTTTCATCATTTCTAATCTGCACAATACTTTTTCTTTTCATCACAGATGCCGTGGAGCTCTCCACTAAACTCGGAGAAGTATTTTCACTGTTTGATTTCGTAAAATTTTTCTCCATTTTGTTTTCTTTAATTGCACCACTCTCACTTTTCAGATTTTGAACATTCAATTTGTCAGTACTCTCAATATTCACAAAACCTTCATCAACATTTTCAACACCAACTGAGTCAGTCTGAATAGTAACGGCATCAACTGCTTTTAATTGCAACGACTTTTCTGAAATAGGGCTTTCAATATCATCACTACTGGATTTTTCACTTTCTCCTTCAGCTGTTTGAATACTTTGCTGACTGTTAGCAGATAAAACACTGTCTGACTTTTGTATTTCCTCTAGCTTCAGTTTAGAATCACCGACATTATCAGCATCTAAAACCAAGTTGTTAACCTCCTTCTTCACACAATCATTGTCTGTTTTTTGTTCACAGTGATTTGAATCAGTCTTGTCAATTTTTCCGGGCGTAGATAAATTCTTACCAACAATTCCTGAAGATTTTCTCTGTGGCAATTCTTTCCTCGACTTCAGTCCCACAGATGGTCTGTAAGTAGACTTGACTAACTTGGATACTACCGTGGACTTATTTATAACTTGTATTGCCAAAGGTGTCGATGTCAATGAAGACTTTGACCGTTTCATTCCTCCTTTAATGTTCCTCTTCCCGTAGGTCTTTGCAATTCCTTTAACTCGATTTTTAACCTTCGCCAGAAAATATGGACTAAGTTTTGGTTCAACAGGTCTCTTCAAAACTTTGATATCCGAGCTACTAGTGGAGTCGGTATCGGAACTTTCCACGTTATAATCAGAATGTACACTGTCTGTCTCCTCACTACTGTCAGTCTCGATGGTGTATTTCACAACTTTAATCTTCTTTTCTTTTAACCTACTTTTCCTTTTCGTCTCTGAATGCTGAACTTTGTGTTTTTTAACATGTTCATTACCAGTCTCTTCTTCGTGAGCATTATTGCCTGTATCGCCTCGCAGCATTTCTAAAAAGTTAATTTTCTTATGGCGGGTTGCTCTTTGTCTGCCGTGGCCATCACTTTCTGCTATTTGGTTCTGTTGGATGCCTGATGACACTTTAACAACTTTTTTTGACTGTTCTTGTAAACTGAAAATAAGCAAACACAATGTGTTATATGAAAACTATAGAATGTAAACCTTAGTTGATTAAATATGTCAAATAAGATCACTGATTCAGTAAGTTAAGCCTAAAGAATATCAGTAAAATTTAAATAGATCACCAAGATTAAAATTCAATTTCACACACTAATAGATATGAACTTTTACATTTTTAATTTCAATAATCATATATTAATATTATTGCGCACATTTACAGCAATTAAGGAAGATCAAAGGGACCTGGTACAGTAACAATATAACAATCCAAATATTTAAGCTATAGACCCCACAGTTTCAGAAAAGAAGCTTAAAATGTAGAATTCCAAATAACTGTAAACTATTTAACCGCCTGCAGTGTGAGGCCAATTCTGACTCCAGATACATGATTGGCATTACTTTTGTAAGGACTTTAAACTCAGGACATTGTAGACCCAAAAAAGCAGATTGCTGAAGATTTCAAAATTAAACTTTTTTTTAGCTCATCAGACCAATATCATTTAAAACTTTTGAAAAGGCATTTCTAAGGAAATTTGGTCAATATATCTGCTGCATGATTAAAGAGACATTGTTAATAGAGAAATTTGTGGACAATGAAGTATAAGTTGGACATCATGCAGTCAAAAAGCTCACCTCTCGACTACTTCTCGTTCAAATAAGCTGAAAGATACCAAAGTGGTAGGAGTTTCATGCAACTTTGGTTCAATTAAAATCAAAACTGACACTGGTTTCATACAGACAAACACAAGGACCATGTTAGTCCTAGATCACTCACCCGAGATTCATTGCTAGAAAAGTTCAATGCAGCAGTAAGTAATTAAGATCAAACTGGGTGTGCCACATTTTCACCCAAACAGTATGATTTACATTATAAAATATCACCTATCTTGGAGTAATAGTACATATAACAACCTGATAGCTGAGATGTGATTTCAATTCAAAGGTTGCTTATACACACTATTACCCTGAGAGACAGAGAGACATGTTTTTTTTTTATTATACCGAACTAACATTTTAATGCCCTTAAGCCATTTATCAGGGGAGAGAACTAGAACATTTATGTTTTCTAAAGTCTATATAAAGTACTTGCCCCTGGAAAATATTGCAAAAAAATAATATTGACCTTCAGGATTATAGATCAAAATAGCACCATGTGACATCACATTAGGCTTTATAGAAAAAGTTTAAATGAGGTATAATAAAATACTTCAGTGGTCCCATATGACATGTCAAATATCTATGCTCTGGGCAATGAAGTTTTCACAATTTGAAAAACATTCAATATGCTTCCAACACACATCTATAAACTTAGACCAATGGGTCGGGACCTATTCTACCTCAAAGGGCATGAGATGCACAAAGTGATAACTACTTGCCAAATATCAGGGCCAAAACACCATTTTTGGGGAAAATATGCGTTATTTTGGCATACTTTGGGAAAAGGGGTCTCAAATTTTCACAAACTTTTAACAAGTTCTTCAAAATAGAAAAGCAAAAAGCACTGGGAAATACGAATAAGGCAGTAAAAGACCTTAATTTTACACCATCATTTAATTTGTTCTAAATTCTATGGGAAATTTTAAAAGACTGGGGAATTTTGAGGACCAAACTGGGGAAAAAAAGAGGCTAGTTTGGTTGGGGAAGCAGTCTATATTCAGCCTCTACAATGAAGGGTTTTTTGACCCTGAATATATATTATGCTCTGGGCAGAAGTTTTTAAGACATTTTTGCTATACAAACAAAGAGAACACCAGAGCAATCCAAAGATATTGTTTGCTAGTTTGGTTTTACTGTGCACCAATACAGGTCATGTGGTACTGAAACAAAGATGATGTTGGCTAACCTTGGGTGTTACAGACTTAAAAAGCAACACCAGGCTCTATCTAGAGCAGGGCCAATTTCTGCTTTATTGAAAGACCTTATGTCTGTGCCACATGCCAATTATTTAGGCTGTGGGGATTGAGTTTTGGGGAATTTCCAGATTAGACAATTTTGACTCCTGGAATGATTTAGTTGTTGTAGATGACCACAAGGCAATTCTACATTCTAAATCATCTCATCTCTGGGCATTGTAGATTACCATTAGAAGATTGAAATGAGTTAACTTTTCCTATGTAGCAGTCTATATAAACTAAGTGACCCGAGCCAGGGCCAATTCTGACTACCTGCTGTCTTATTTATATTAAGGTGATGCTACTTATTAGCAAAATATCTATGCTCTGTGAAACTCATTTTAGTCTATTTCTATTTCCTTTGCATCACGCAAAGAACATTGATTTATAAAACATTTGTACAAGGTCACCCAAGGATCATTCCAAAGAAAAAATCTACAATGTGGTTAAGGAAATACTGTTTAAAAGAATTCTGTATGACGGACAACATGCCATCAAAAAAGCTCGCTTCCGAGCACTTTTTGTTCAGATAAGCTTAAAAGCCACACAGGTGTAGCTATCCAAATTTCAACAGAATTGTTTAGCCAAATTGATGATCCCTGAAGTATCCCTTAATTTGACCACTGTACTACCTATCTTTAAAATTTCATCTACCTGCTATGGATTGGCTGACCAATATCAACATCATCCTTTGATTGTGAAATATCTCTTGGATCTGATTCACTCTTCTTTTCAGCCAGTCTTTGAGCACGAATAGCTGCACGACGAGCTAGTGCTATCCTTCTTAACTGCTCACGTCTATGATCAACAATGGACCTGTGATGATCTTCTGGACGTAACGTTTTCGGCTGAGGATCTACGTAATAGCCAATCAGAACCTTGGCATCGTCTTTTGAAATAATCAAAGTACTTTTAGAATTAAACGCCTTTCCATACTGCACTAGAAAGTACCGCTGCATTTCAGAACAATTCTCAACTTCAATTCCCATGAGCTGGCATCGTTTCTTTAGAATTCCTGTATCTTTAGCTGGTAGTATTTGCTTATGAATGTCAACAAGTCTTACAAATGGCTGGTTGTTGATCATTATAGCTGGTAAATCATTCCAGTACATGCTCACAGTAACAATCCATGGAGCGTTATAGTCAACCTGCGTTGTCGATGCAGGTGCTGTTGCACCTTCTTGAAAGAGGTCACCTTTGTCAAAGTCATTTCCCAGAAGATAGAGCGTTTTATCAATCTGCGGTATAGACATTTCTGATGTTAATGAACTCGATGCTACAGAGTTAATATCTGACTCAAACGTTGAGCTTCTAGCCGCGTCTAGTGCTGCTGCTGTTGCTGGAAGTTCGGCCTTATCAGAGGTAACAACTGTTGTTGCTGTTATTGAAGCAACATCGCTTTCTTTTCCAAAAGGTTGAGGTAAATGGTCTAATGTTGTGTCAGTCTCTGAACTTAACGATAGGACACCAAGACTGTTTTTTGCGCTATCACCTGAACCTGTATTGTCAACATCGTGTAAAATGTCTGTCACAACTGGTTGTTTTTCTGAATTATCAGTCTTTTCTATCACCTGGTTATTATCATTCACATCTCCAGACGTCTCTAGACTTTGTTGTATATCAGTTATCTCTTTTACTTCAGTACTGTAAGTGGCATCTTTTTCAGCACTTTCCGTATCTGAAGAAAACAAAAATATTTTGTAACAAGAATTTGTAACAGAGTTACCAATGTCCCCCGCCTCAGGGAAGTTTTATATGCAGCATCAAATTGTGCTATTTCAAGATAGAGGTATGGATCTCAGGACTTTCAGTCCAAAATTACAAGTATGATCAATGCTAGATCTGCAAATGCAACAATAAATTTATTAAAGAAATAAAATGAAACATAAAATTTAACTAGAAATGTGTCATCATGCCACGGATGCCCCCGCATGCAGCCAAAATTTCAAATGTTATAATATTTAGTTCCAAATTTGTTTGCACAAATTATTTTTTTCATTCTATGTTCAAAGCCCTTAAAACTTTTCAATGTTAACACAAACCATTTTTATACAATGTTCAAGGCACTGAAATTATTCAGTCTTAACCTTTTGAAAATAGCAAATTGCATATTTGTTGCCAAAATAATGGCTATATACATTTCCACAAAAGTATGAGTGCTGAAACTGAAAATTCAAATTTTTTCCAACATTCAGGAAAGATAAGTTTGTCCAAAATCATTGAACAACGACCAAATTCCAACTTAAACTGCTTATTCCTAAGATGTATCTATATTATTTTCAAAGTGAAAGGGACAAAACTCTGCCAAAAAATCATCGAACCATGACCAAATTCCAACTTGACCAGCATATTCCTTTGACATATCCATATGTCAATTTTAAGTTGAATATGTAACACTGTTGGGTTGATAATGAACAGAAACTGTAAATTTCATATCATTTTTAAAGTGAAAGGGGCTTTACTCTGCCAAAAATCATTGAACCATGACCAAATTCGAACTTGGCCTGCGCATTCCAAAAATATATCCATATGTCAAATTTGAGTTGAATGTGTAATAATGTTGGGGAGATAATATACGAAAACTGAAAATTTCATATTATTTTTAAAGTGAAAGGGGCATAACTTTGCCAAAAATCATCGAACCATGACCAAATTCGACCTTGACCTGTATTTTCTCATGACATATCCATATGTCAAGTTTGAGTTGAATGTGTTGTACCATTGGGGAGATAATGAACGGAAACTGAAAATTTCATATTATTTTCAAAGTAAAAGGGGCATAACTCTGCCAAAAATCATCGAATCATGACCAAATTCGACCTTGACCTGTATTTTCTCATGACATATCCATATGTCAAGTTTGAGTTGAATGTGTTGTACCATTGGGGAGATAATGAACAGAAACTGAAAATTTCATATTATTTCAAAGTGAAAGGGGCATAACTCTGCCAAAAATCATCAAACCATGACCAAATTTGAACTTGACCTGCGCATTACTTTGACGTATCCATATGTCAAGTTTGAGTTGAATGTGTTGTACCATTGGGGAGTTAATGAACGGAAACTGAAAATTTCATATTATTTTCAAAGTAAAAGGGGCATAACTCTGCCAAAAATCATCAAACCAAATAACTCTGCCAAAAATCATCGAACCAAGACCAAATTTGAAATTGACCTGTATTTTCTCATGACATATCCATTTCTTAAGTTTGAGTTGAATGGGTTGTACCGTTGGGGAGATAATGAACGGAAACTGAAAATTTCATATTATTTTCTAAGTAAAAGGGGCATAACTCTGCCAAAAATCATCGAACCATGACCAATTTCGAACTTGACCTGTATTTTCTCATGACATATCTATATGTCAAATTTGAATATGTGCAACGGTTATTAAGATAACGAACGGAAACTGATGAGGACGGAAGGACGGAATGACAGAACAGGGTAACACTATATGCCCTTGCCATCATATGGCGGGGGCATAAAAATCTATCATGTTAAGCTTTGACCTCTAAGTGTGACCTTGTTCTTGGAGGTAGGGGTGCAGGTGTTGTGCATGAAATATCGTCTTATTATTGTCACTATTTGTGCCAAGTATTTTCAAAATCCCTTGAATCTATTCAACTATGAAGAAGTTATAGATCAGACACAAAATATACCCTATAACAGACTATGTTAATCTTTGACCTCTAAGTATGACATTGGAGGTAGGGACCCATGTTTTGCGCCTGACATATCCTCTTATTATTGTGATTATTTGTGCAAAGTATTTTTAAAATCCCTTGATCTATGAAAAAGTTATGGATTGGACACAAAATATACCCTGTAACAGACTATGTAAATCTTTGACCTCTAAGTGTGACCTTGACCTTGGAGGTAGGGACAAAGATGTTATGCATGATATATCATCTTATCATTGTGACTATTTGTGTCAAGTATTATCAAAATCCCTTTATCTATGAAGAAGTTATGAACGGGACACAAAATATACCATATAACAGACTATGTTAACCTTTGACCTCTTAAGTGTGACCTTGACCTTGGAGGTAGGGATGCAGGTGTTGCTCATGACACATTGTCTTATTATAGTGACTATCTGTGCCCACTATTTTCAAAATCCTTCGATCTATGAAAAAGTTATGGACCATACACAAAATATACCCTATAACAGACTATGTTAATCTTTGACCTCCATGTGTGCTCTTGACCTTGGAGGTAGGTGACCAGTTTTGAGCATGACACATCGTCTCATTATTGTGAACAATGCGCATGACACGTCGTCTCATTATTGAGAACAATTATTAACAAGTATTTACAAAATCCCTTCATAAATAAGAAAGTTATGGACCGCAAACGACATACACCATAAAATAGACAATGTTGACCTTGAATGAGCAAGTGTGACCTTGACCCTGGAGGTAGGGGTCTGGTTGTTGTGCATGACACATAGTCTTATTATAACAAACATTTGTGCCAAGTTATTTCAAATTCCCTTGATAAATGACAAAGATATGGACCGGACACGAAAGTGTGACGGAGCCTATTTTATATATCCCCCTGCGGGGGACAAAAAGAAATCTTGCTAAAAATTCATACAAAAGAATATAAATTATGTTTCAATTTCACGCTGATTAACCTTTCTTTCACCTCAGATGATATTATCACCATTGGTTGATTTTATTTTGTTTCTTTTTTTACCTCAGCTAATCTGTATTTTATCTTGAGCTACAAATCATAAAAATAAAAAGCAATTTCATCTGAGCAATTTTCATTAACATGTAATGACAAATATTATCTTCACTGTTGTTTTCCTATCATATTAGTAGTTTTTAAACCATGACTACCAACACAATAATTAAAACAAAAATTGTGACAATTTTTGATATAATCCCAATCTATAAGTGGTCTTCAGAAAATGAACTTGTACCAAATTGAGGACAACAGACCTACAACCAATCCTTTTATCAGATATGAAAAAGATAACAACCATTGATTTTGCACAATTACTAAAACAAGCATGGTTAAACAGAAATGCCATGATAGCCCTAGATCATTCATCTTATATACATTGCTACAAGCCTATATATATACATGTATACAAATGGTCACAATTTCTACAATATAAAAGCATCATCAAAAGTTCAATATTATGTATAAACTAGAAATGTGTCCATAGGACACGGGTGCCCCACACTCCACCGATTTGTCAATCTTATGTCTCTAGGTCAAATATTTAATGTACAAAAATATATAATGTGTCCAAGTTGAAAACTAAAAATCTTTTATTAAGTAAAGGGCAAATACTACAAATACTGAATAAATTCACAAGAAAACCCCAAGGTACATTAGTACACATGATGACCAACATTCTTGTAAACTTTCAGGCCTACAGGTCAAATACTTTTTGAGTTACGTGCAATACAAGTTGAATATTGTAAATTTTTACTAAGTCAAGGGCAATAACTCTAAAAATACAAAAATATCTACACGAAAATACCCAGGTGCACAACTACGTATGCTGAGCAACATTCTTGTAAGGTTTCATGACTCTAGGTCAAATACTTTTTTAGTTACATGCAACACAAGTTGAAAATTGGAAATTTTTACTAATTCAAGGGCAATATCTCTAAAAATCCTAAATATATCCACACAAAATAGCCAGGTGCACAACTACACATGATGATCAACATTCCTGTAAGGTTTCATGACTCTAGGTCTAATATTTTTTGAGTTGTGTGCAAGACAAGTTGAAAATAGCAAATTTTTACTAAGTCAAGGGCAATAACTCTAAAAATACTAAAAATATCCACATGAAAATACCCAGGTGCACCACTACACACGCTGATCAACATTCCTGTAAGGTTTCACGACTCTAGGTCAATTACTTTTTGAGCTACATGCGACATAAAAAGAGAACGGACGGCAGACAAGGGTAAATCTAATGCCCCCATCCCCCCAAAACTAAACCAAAGGTCCAATGGCTTAAAAAATGCAAAGTAGGTCAATAAATGAAGTGTAAGAAGCAATCTTTCAAAACAATAATTCATTTTTTGAAGGGCATACATGTAGCTTGATAATGCAATGTACACTGGAACAAAGATTTTGTATTTTTGCTAATAATTCATTTAATAGTAATTTTCAATTGTGACATTGACCTTGAGCATGCACATGATGGCATGGATTCTGACCTGTGCACATTGAATTATGAACATAACCTTGTTGAGATACAAATTTGAACCAAGTTCGATCTTTTTAGGGCTATTTTTATGGGTATAGGAATTAAAGGGCAAAAGTGCCTAATTTTTTACTACAAAGATGACATTGACCTTTTAAGGTACAGAGTGAGTGTCAGATGCGGCAAATTGCCTTTCCAGTTTACTTCAACATTATGAGGTGGGTGTACAAACAAGAGCAGGGCAAAGGAGAGGCAATATACACCCAAATGCAAATTTGTTTTGAGTATTCAAAAGTAATTTTTCAATTAAGAAAGATCAATTCGTGACACTTGTCTAAACCACATCTAATATTAAATATAACTTATAAATCCTTACTAAGAGAGGTGATATTTTGACCCTTGCTCCATAATTCATACATATAACTTTTGTAGAGGTCTACTAGGTAATACAACATGCTAAATATCTATTTAGCAAGATCTGAGCATTTTTTTTCCATTAGATTTAAAATTTCTTTTCCTATAAAAAAGTCTATTTTCAAAATAATTTAAAAGCTGGGGGAACCGTTTTGCCTTAAGGGGCAGTATTTTTTTTAAAATCACTTTCGGGGTAACACTATCAAACAAAATTTTAGTTTTTCGGCTCTTTTTAAGTATTTCCCATTAATTTTTAAAAGCAATTTAAAATATAGATTCAAAAATTTACACAAATCTTTTTGGGAAAATCATTCAAGCAATATCGTAGTCTCTGCATGTGTATATTAAATTTTAGGAAAATTTTTATGTATGTGTTCTTGCAAGATTCTGTCAATAACATCCTTCCAGTAAAATCTCAATTCAGTAAACAACTTCAAAATTTTGTACATATCTCTCAAAACAGCTGCATCTTAGAGAGACAGCAAAACCTCTATTTTAATATAAGAAAAGTAAATAGAAAACTATGCTAATTGATTGTAAATATTAATTTTCGTACCAATTATGGACAAATGTAAACAGGAAACCCCTTATCTATTTACCATACTTCTAATCAACATTTTTTTTTTTATGTGGTTTTTATTTCCCTTACCTAAATTAAACCCAAATTTTTAAATATCTTTTCACACTTTTTCATTAGCATTAGAATAATGGGTAAAATTTTCTAATCAAAAGCTTTTCCCAAATTTCAAACCTCTTCATGCCTCTTTTTTTCAGTAAAAATTTTATTCTTTTTTTACCCTGTCGAAGAAAATTTTTTAATTGTAAATTTTTTAAAGGGGTATTTTGTGAAAAAAGGGCATTTTTTTACAGTTAGGTTGAGCCAATTCGGGAGAAAAAAATAAAACATTTTTTTTTTTACAAAAAGGGAAGAACAAATTTTGATGTAAATTTAAATTTAGGGAAAAACTACCTGATCTTAAAGGAATTTCCTGAAAGGAAGGGTTCAAGTAGCCTTTAAAGCAGCATGCCTCCAGATTCATACTAATTTTGTCTTATTTGATGAAAATTTTGATAATGTATTCAATAGTAAAATAGTGTAAAGAGAACAAAGAAAGTAATTTACACATGTGTATTGCGAACAGCACTTACAATCAACATGTATCAAAATATGCTAATAGCCCTTACTTCAGTTGTCAGATATGATTAATACTGCAAAATGAGTCATTAATCACACATAATATGTAAATTATTACTTCAATCTTTTCATTTTTCTTAAAATTCTAGTACATTTTTCTCAAGTTTGTGATTTTCATCTGGATGCATGCAGCTTTAATTGACCCCTGTTATAGAAGGAAAAAGCCCTGTTTAAATTGAAACAAGTGTCACATGTATGAGCAGGGAAATACATTTATAATATATAATGCCTGAATGAAGAAACAAAACAGTTCTAATGGTGTGGCAACTCCTTAAGGTGTGCCTTAAATCTGGTCCACAAGTAGTGAAAATTTGTTTGCAGAGGCAAAAATGATAAATTAATAGGGGAAGAAAATATCAAGTACATGTATCTTTAAAGGTGAAACTTTAGTGTTTAAGCAGTTCAAAGTCAGAGCTAACATATCTTCAAGAAAGGCTTAGAATTTTTTACATGCAAATAATACAGTCTCAATCAATTAATTTATTGATTATGTAACAGCTGCAAATATTTCGTAAAATTAAGAAATTATACTATTTATACCTTTTTAAAAGTATGCAAAAGGAGAATGCATCTATATATAGAACATTCATGATCAACAATATTTTATTTATACTTTGATATCGTATTTTATCTCCTTAGAACTTGAGAGACAGGGTCTTCTCCCTTAAACTTGGTAGAACCCTAATCAGATTTTCATAAATTGTTCACTGAACACTTAAGGCCATAATGCCATGTATTTCATGGCACTCAATATTTGCTGCAAAAATGATAACATAAATATTTCTCTACTGGCATGCGAGCAGTTCCCGTACAAAAATCGTAGTTACTTAAACATTATTTTTTATTACGCTCACTCACCAAAATTTGAATTTTACACATCAATATTCGGCTCGTCACACAAATCATGGAAATTCCATCATGTTCTAAACATAGAATAACCCTTACTTATGAGGCCTCATATGGGGTACCGAAATTATTGATTATTTTGTATGAAGAGGAGTAGTTTCCGTACATAAAATCTAACCCATTGTAATTATACAATTTTATTATATCGGACCTATTTTTCATTTACAATTGTTGAACAGACCATTATCTAAGAAATAGATAGATGTAATTCAGGAAATAGACCGTAGACTAAACGCGGGTATCTATTACCCGGTACCGTTACCCCAACGCATTCACATGCAATAGCATGCTTGTATACATGATATTTTAAGCATCAAAACCATAAAATTATTTTAAATAGTAATATTGGTCAAAATTCTGATAATTAAACAAGTTTTAATCACATTGCCTACTTATCTGTAAACAGTTGGTATTAGTGGAAAACCCTTTAACAAGCCTCACGTGTAAATATTTTTGCGCATGCGCGCAAGGACGGAATCCCCCAGAGAAAACAAGGTCACGTTTTGACGACGCACAGGTGAAAGTGATTTAAAATGAGACTTTTAATGCGTATTGCCGAACTGACACTTAGATTTTGTCTCGTTTATGTATCTGCTTGATTTGAAATGAATTTTTAAAGAATGCAAGTAAAAATCAAGCGTTTAAATGAAAAATACGGGTACTGCTTCTGTACGGGAACTGCTCGCATGCCAGTAAACAAATAATTGCCGCTATTATTCTAAATTGGCCAGAGTGAGCTCCGCTACTGGCAAGGTAAAATGGTTTAACAGCTCATTATTACCTATGGTGCTGGAGGTATCTTCTGATACAGGAGTTGATAGCTGCGCGTCTCCAACTTTATCCTCAGTATCGGCGATTGTTGTCGAACATGCCACGCCTGAATCATCAAACGCATCTGTATCTCTTGATACAAGCTTTTCTGCCCCGATAAGATCTGGAGAGGAGTTTTGAACCTCGTCCACAGCACTGTACAGCATATCCATTTGTTCTGGTGTAAGGTTCATTTGCTCCGGGAACAAATTCATAATATCAGCATTCAAACCCTGACCATACATTTCCATCGATTCATTATATGGCACCGTTTCACTTTGATTAGATGACACCAAATCCTCGTTCTCAAGACTCAGGATTGTATTTATTATTGTCTTTTCATCGTCAACAGTTTCAGGTGGCTGGGTTGGTGGAAACACTCCGTTGTTAAGCTTTGCTGCCATGAATTCATTTCTAAGATAATTTGAACAAGGAGTACCAGCCGAGTTTTTTCCCTGTTTTGAGCGCAATTTAAGATTTTCAATGTCTTGATCAGTTAGATGAGGCACAACAATATCCCCTGGCTTAGGTGGAATGAAAACACGGTCTGTACCATTTGGTAACGGTACGTCTTTGCTTTCTCGTCGGCGACTGCGTTTCTTAGTATTCATAAAGTATACAAACTGATCCTGAAAATTACTACTTCCGGTAATTTTAACTTTCGGATCTGTCCGCTTTGATTCAATATATTTTTCACTGCGGTACTTTTGTCTATATGAAGTGGGAATACCAAGTAAATCACTTTCACTATCCACATCAAAGTCTTCGTTTATATCTTCTTTCGTCACACTCGCGGAGCTCCTTTTACGCTTTGCCGACTTACTATCAGATTTGAAATCTGGATCAGACTTTTTCCCTTTTACATGAGTTACTTTTCCTTTAACATTGTCCTTACTAAGAAGTCTTGCTTCAAGAAAACTGTTCACTACAGATGGCATTAAGTTTTTCGTACAGTAATCATGATCATGCTGAATGTGATCAACAACAAACTGCTCTAATTGGGAAGAGGGAGATAAGCTGCTTTTCACTTTCTGTACAAGACTACCTAATGTATCTACTACAGGGGAAGATTTTCCACTATTTGATCTCCCTGTTAAAAGAGATGTATTAGATGTATTTTCCGATTTATCTTCCCCCTGTACTTTTATAGAAGATGAGATCAACTTGGCTGGTGACTCCAAAGAAGCACCAGTGTTACTGAATGAAGCAAACGTCCCTATCCTGAACTTTCCATATTTTGGTGGGGACATTTCTGGAGGAATTGTTTCTTTCACTTCTTGTTTTTTTGGAGTTAATAATCCTAATACACTTTCAGGTGTAGATTTAATTAGCTTTGGGGCTTCAGTCACTGATGGAAATGCAACCTTTCCTACAGGTGCAGCCAACGGTACCTTAGCTAAATTGGTCCCTGTTATAAATTTCATATCTTCATGCAAAAATACTGGTCCTCCAAGAGTTCTTGCCAAGTTATTATCATGAACGGTTAAACTTCCATTTTTATTCAAACTTACAAGCACTGGAACAAGACTTTTCAGAGCTGGAGACTTTTCAACGTTTTCCGATATCACTGGAATTATTTGCTGCTGCTGATGCATTTCAGGGGATTGAGTCACATCCTCGTACCCACTGTCCTGAGACAACTCGCTCAAAGATCCTTGCGGAGTCTTTACCTCCTCACTTTCATTTTGTTCAGAACAATCCGTTTCCCCATAGTCTCCTGTTGTGTTTACTTTTCCTTGCACACCAGCATAACAGTGGTCTGAATCAAAACAAAAGATATTGGTTTTCCTAGTTGATGGTGATAATATATCGTTAGCACTCTTTTCACAAGTATCAACTTTATCAGTAAACAACAGCCCTGATTCTACGTTCAACTCTCTACTATCTGAAACTGTTTCAATACTGGGTGTATCGGGTTCACTTGGACAATTGGTTTCGGAAAGATTTAAAGATAATTGACTAGGGTTATCAGTTTTATTCATAGTTTCATTCACTGACTGCAAATTGATCTTGCCCTGTGCATCAATTTCAAGAGGACTTTTTGAAAATGGAGTCTTATTATTTTCCACAGCCGAGTCGAAATGTTGATTTCCCAAGCCGAGTTCATTTTTGTGATTAATTTTAGGACTTACAATTCCAACAGAGTCCGGATTTCTGCAGTCAGGTGACAATAAATGAACACTTGATGATGAGTCATCTGTACATAAAATGTTTCCTATCTCAAGATCTTTCAGAGAATCATATGATAAACACTTTTTATTTATGGATACAGCTTCATTATTTTGTACCTCCGGTAATGTTCGAGTTATATTCAGTCCAACTGGTTTCTTTTTTATTCCTGACATGTCAATATTTGGACCATCAAATTGCTTTCGCACACTTAAAGATTTGCCTTTTTCAACATCTGATATGGCGGAAGAACTCGGCATAACTTCACTAGCAAGGTCTTCCTGCTCGTTCTTCAAATTAATTTCACTAGATGCAATAACTTTCAAATTTTGTGACTGATCATTTAGTTCTGGTTTGGCAAGATTTTCTGAAGTATTTTCTGCCACACTGGAAATTGGATATTGCTTAAAATCACTCTTTTCAGATGTAAAAGATTGTTTAGTGATGCTTGGACCATTTTTTAAAATTAATTCACCAGTTTGTTCATTCAACACTAAACCATCATCATGTAAAGAAAATAAATCAGATTTTGCTTTCAAAGTATCACATTTGCCTTCTTTCGTATTATCTTTCTGAATCTGCGCATCAGATGATTCACCAGTTGCCCTAATGCTGTTCTGTTCAAAGTTATGAAAAACAATCTCTGTATTTTCATGGATATCACATTCTGAACATTTCTGTTCTGAATTTCCCTGATAATTAGCACAAACTCTATTTAGACAGCCACTCTTATCACTGCAGCCAACATTCCCGTTCACCATATGGACAATTTCGGAGTCAAACATTTTAGACGTAGGACTTGAAGTTAAGTTATGAACTTTACTTAAAATCGGTCCATCAGTGGTTGTTGTTTGTTCCGAACCTGTACTTTTATCTACCATTTGTCTAGTTAGTTCATTGCTTTCAGTGACCTTTTCAATCTTACTACTATTCCTTTTTGCATTTCCGTAATTATGCTCATCCAACATTTTCTCTAAATCTGAGTTAATGTCTGGCTTTCTAATCTTTTTGACAATAACTACACTTGGTTTACTTTTCGTAATATTGTTATTAGTAGTCAGTTCTCTATTTTCTTTCTGTCCATTTGTGCTGACATACGTTGTTTTAGCTGCAGTATACCTCTTCGGTCTAGAAATGATTATTCTCTCAGGGCCATCATCATGCTTCTGCTGCTGCAGCTCAGCAGCACTTGCCAACAGGTCTAGAGGATTGAACCCATCCATCTTAGAATACAAGGCAATAGAGTCCACCCTGCAACATAGAAAGAGACATTGATCTATCAAATGCCTTCAAAGTAAAATTTCATATTCATTCAAAGCTAATTTCAACTAGAACAAGCACTATTGTCCAGGGTCCAATGTTAAACAATTTTGTAAGCACTAAACAAAAACAAGCAATTATCATAGTATTGCAAGCAATCCATAAGTCCCCTACCGGTAAGAGCCCAAGCAACATTCTGAAGGGCCATTGGCCATTCACTTAGGTTCCTATTTTAAGTAAATTTGTTGAAAAAGTTCTTTTAAAATGATCACAGGAAACAGTTTTTATGTACAGACAGACGGACTGAAGGACACTCTAAAGTTATTTTTTAAACATCCCTGTTATGAAAATATAACATTTTTAAAATCCTATCATGATTGAAGAAGTTGGAGAAAAATTACCAATTTCTCAAAAAAAAGTCTAAGTTCAAAAGGGGCATAATTCTGGAAATAGTCTTGCTAGAGTATTGAACACTCACAAATGTTGAGTGACAATAAGAAACATTTATATGAAGTTTGAAGTAGATACATTCACAAAAAGAAGTTATTAAAAAAAAACAATGTTTTTTTTCATGAAAATTTTAAGTTCAAGGGAGGTAATTCTGATAAATTTTGTGCTAGAGTTGTAAACCTTGTCACATATGATGTGGTTTATGACAAGCAACTTATATTTAAAGTTTGAAGAAAATACCTTAAGAAATAAAGAACTTATAGTGAAAAAACTTAAAAACTAGAATCAGAAATCTTGAAATTCAGTCTATTTGTTGCCATAGCAACCAGAATTTTCAACATAGGAAGATAAAAAAGGATGTGCATAATTTCCATACTGCCATCTACCCATATGTCAAGTTTCATAAACATATTTTCAGTACTTTTTGTGTTATCACTGGTTCCAGGTTATGTGTAAAATTTGCCATATTTTCAGTCTATTTGTTGCCATAGCAACTAGAATTTTCAACATAGGAAGAAAAGAAAAAAACGTGCATAATTTCCATACTGCCATCTATCCATATATCAAGTTTCATAAAAATATTTTCAGTACTTTTTGCGTTATCGCGGGATCCAGGTAATGTGTAAAATTTGCCATATTTTCAGTCTATTTGTTGCCATAGCAACCAGAATTTTCGACATAGGAAGAAAAAAAAAGACGTGCATAATCTCCATACTGCCATCTATCCATATATCAAGTTTCATTAAAATATCTTCAGTACTTTTTGCGTTATCGCGGGATCCAGTTTTGTGGACGGACGGACTGACGGACGGAAGGACTGACGGACGGACAGACAGACGGACGGAGGGTAAACCTAAAGTCCCCTCCGGTAAACCGGTAGGGGACTAACAAGTGTTTGATTGGTTATAAACCAGCACAGAATTGTACTTGGACCAACGAAAATCCCGGGATTCGAGACATGCTAAGGCAGGGCTTTTTTTCCTTCTTTAGCAGTGGCCTATATAGGGCTGCTTCCCCAAAGATAAATTCTTTAAAATCATGCAGATATCCCCAAACATTGAATTTACATCCAGTTTTTTCTTCCCCTTTTAACTTACAAACTTACAAAGGGCAGTAACTCTAAATAAAATACAAATAACAACTGAGAAATATGATTCTTAAATAATGCCATTATACCAATGGTAACCACTAGCTTAAAACTTTGTTATGCTGTCTGTATTTAAAAGAAACATTATACATATGATTGCCACACAACAGCCTAGACTCTATACTTAGTGCATATATTATTGGAAATAAGACCCAAGTGTAACGTTGTATTAAGTGTTTACATTATTACTCATTGTAAATAATCTAATTGACAACAAACTTAAAAGACAAGTCCCTAGGCTAACATGCCTAATAGTGGTTTGCTATCATTTATCAATATAACGTTGTATGTGCAAATAAATTTTGACAAAAATACCATTGCAGATTTTATCACATACATTCTTAAGATCAGGTGGTCATTTACAATTCATACTAGTAACTAATCATTATAATAAGTTCAACTTTCCATTATAGAAGTAACAAACATTTTTTTTTTCATAAATTAAGGTGAAGCAAAAGCAAAAATACTTCATTATGTGAAATGAATGTCTTCTTTTCAATAAATCAATATCACATACAATGTACAATAATAAACCCAAGGGCAGTGCCAATTTTCACCCAATAGGCCTGATTGATACAACTTTGTGGCGAACTATAAGGTAATGATACATATTATCTATATAAATACATATCTTAAACTGTGAGGACAAGATTGTCTCCTTTAAGCTTACTGTGAAGGTGACCAACATGTACACCAGGTTAAAGTAGCTAACCTCTAGATTTGTTTTACCTTTAGTTTTGTAAAAGCTTTAAAATTGTTTTGAGTAAAAATTGTGTCAAAAATACAAATAAAGTGATTTCACTTAGCTCACTTCTGAGCACTTTGTGCTCAAAAGTGTACATCGTTCTGAAAATTTTCTGTCGCATATAATCATTTATTCATAGAAAGAAACAGAAGTTATCAAACATCCATACATTGATTTATGTATTTTTAAAAAAAATCAGATTTTCCTCCATACATGATTACTGAAATGTTCACATACTGTAGTTAAATATTTGTTGTCCTGTTGTTGTTTATTATTTACAGCAGTTAACAATTTCAGATAAATTGTTGAAGCAGGAAGTTAAGTATCCAAATTTTCTTTCCTCTTGTAGCTAAACATTAATGTTAGGCTAGCTGACTGTGTAGGCTGACAAATTTACAGTTTAAAGGGATTGACAACGTATCAACAAATTCACATATTTAATATAATAATTAACACATTGATGCACTGACATATCATCAAAATTCAATAAGCTATATTAACAAAAATTAAAATAAAAACATTAAAAAAATAAATAAATGAATATGGAAAACTTACCTATATCATTTTTCCAAAGCGATCTTGGTCAGTATTTTCACAAGATCTGTATTTGTCAGCAGAGCCATATTTACCGACATTCATTTCTTTCCTCTTTTCATGCTAAAAATAAAAACAAAATAAATTTATGCAAATAACTGAAAAAGTTTTGTGATATAGAACTACAGTGTAGAACTGTCAATTTTACTTGTCCAAAAAAATCATCTGGACATCAAAATCTCCATCTTGGGTTGGGCTGAAACATATTATCTTTTTACATCTAAATAGAAATACAACAAAAATTCAGTGTACATGCAAAATGTCATTATGACAAAATGTAAATTCTTAATTATTTTCACATACTAGTGTTTGCCTGAGTTGGTACAGCCATTTTTGTGACACAAATAAGCATGACTTGAGTTACTGAATACAATGAAAGTATACATGTATGTATTTTCTCTACTATCATATTACCAATTTCAAACAGTCTTGTATTACTTTACTTTAGTTTAACGACTCAATACTATGTTTAACCAACCTCTTCATCCAAACAAAAAGTACATGTAGAATGTGAATCATTATGCAATCTTAACCATCAAATTTTTCTTGCTACATATGTATCTTCTGAAAAAGTTTCGAAATACACAGATTTGTCAACGTTTTTTTTATGACTTCACTTAATACACATAATAATGTGAGTATATTTAAACAGATAAAATATCATAGTTATTGAAAACTAATTTCCCTCTCAAAAGCGTATGTCCCCAGATATATAACTTATTATTAATTTTGTGGAGTGAACAAAGAAAGTAATTTGCAGCATCACAAACAGCACTTAAAATTGTGTAAATTACCAAAAAGACGTCAAAATGTGTAAAAACAGACCTTAATGTTTTAGTCATGCAGTAGAAATATGGTGATAAATACTACAAAATCAGTCATTAATACATTAATAATTACAGAACTTTATAAATTATTTCTTGAATCTTGAATCTTTTTTACTTTTCTTAAATATCTCAAGTTTAATTTTCTTGAAATAGTTTGGCTAATCTGGAGGCATGCAGCTTTAAATGGTTGAATTATAAATAACTATTATAAGTGTTTTAATTTCCATCTTGCCTCGACAAAAGTACATGTGTTTAAATCATAATAAAGAAAATCATTAAAACATAGCCACTCGTAGGGTGACCATCCATTACTATAAATTCAATTAATCATCCATTACTATAAATTCAACAAATCAATCAATCTGAAAACCCTTTATATCTATTTATAATAAACATTGATTGAACAACTATAAAGAAAACAAAACAAAAAGCAACACACCTATACATGTTAACACAACTGTAAGTATCACTATACTGAGTTTACTACATGAAAAGATATAAATAAATCAATAACCAGTGAACTAACACTTGAACCCTAACATGAACCTCACAAAATTGATTAGCTTTAAACACAAAAGAAAAACCTATGTAGAGTAATCTCCCTGGGCTTTATGTGAAGAAAATCTATACATACTGGCAAACACCAGCGCATGTCAAAATGAGGCTACCAGTGGGGGATAAAACCAATACACGGTATACAGTTGTACACACAGGTAAATCAAACAAGTTACTGGTCAGTGGCTGTGACTAATGTCTTAATATCTGATGAAATATATTTATATACTGCTATAAATAGAATATCATGAAATTATTGAATGCAGCCAAAATCTAAAATATTTAATAAAGTCATTATAATGATCACGTTCAGATATTGTCCTGCCAAGTGAATGACTGTTAATATGCACTGGTCCTGAACAAACTTGGGTGTCATATGAGCGGAAAACTATCCTAAATAGTTTATGACATAGGGTTGTGCACTCCCTACTTTTTTTTTCGCTAACATACATTCTGACTTTATTAAATCACCATGTTAAACAGGACATATAAATCATGCTTCATAAATCTTTCATAAACCTTTATATAACCAAAATATTTTTAAACTTAAACACTATGTATTGGTAGATTTCTTTTCCTATAGTGAGTATACAAAAAAAGATGGTGTTCTATTTAATGAATTTTCACCTTATATAAAAGTTCTGTTCCCTATTGATATTTTTACACCTGTTTTTATACTTCCAAAGTTAGCAATTCTTGCAATAACTTTTTTTTCAAATTTGAGTGGCTAAGGTCTCTTCCCAATTCAGTCTTCTACGCGAAATAGAAATACATTAGGCAAAATATAAATGTTTTCCCAATCCTGTCTTTTGAAAAAGTTACCATTCTCTGACCTTTTATTAAAATAACAACAAAGTTGATCACAAACATTGACATGTGTTCTTTTGTTAAAAACAGTTTGTGGTGAAATTCTTATTGTAAATGCAATAATGACCGGTTGGGGTCATAAAGGGATCTATCAATTGTACTAGTTAGTCAGTTGTTACAAGACTTCCTTTTTCTGTAGAAGGGGCACCTAAGGCTACTTCTCATCAGGAAAATTTCTTTAAAATCATGCAGTCTTCTACCTAATTTCAATTAACACCCCTACAAAGTTTTGTTCTTCCCATTTTGTCTTACTCATGGGGCCCCTTCCATGAGCTGTGAAAATAGCCCTGTGGTTTATATAAAATAATGAACTGTGACCATTTACAAATTACTACTGAATAAATTACAATTTTAGTTCAATTAAATACAATAAAAAATAGCTTTTTAATGTATTCTGATGAAAGATAAATAAGTGGGGAAAAATGTGAACCCTAAGTTTGCTTGGGTCAGGAAGGGAAAACACAAATTTACTTAAATCTAAAATTAGCATTTATATTGAGTATCGCTTTATAAAAGGAAATAAACATATTATAATACAGCACATTTTAATTCTATACCTTTCACATATGGTTAAAATCAATATAGGCGTTGAAATATGGTTAAATTCAATAAAGGCATTGAAATCTTAGTGTTATAATCCATCTAACAAGTCAATTAAAGCTACTTTTATAGATTAAGAAAATGAGATGGAATCCCCGCCTCCTCTTGGAAAAAAAAAAAAATTGTGCAATTTGCTCTGTTTTCCTGCAGCATCTTTTTCTTTTGAACATTTTTGACTGAAAAGTTACAAAATCTTCAAAATTAATGCTAAAAAGCAGGTAACTTGTAATCAAAAGCCATTATAGATATAAGTAAAACTGTACCCAAATCCAAATTTGTGAGCCATTGCATTAAAATTTCACTAGCAATGTGTCCCCCACTTCATATGCCTGTCACAAAAGCCTATCTACATACTAATGCATATTTCATAAAGGTCAAGTGTTGTATCAGCAATACATGTATATGATACCAATAGTATAATAACTTATAAGTTTCATATATACCTACATGTTTGAATAGTTATCAATTTAAGACAAGGATTTTGCATGGAGTGTCACTACAGGGTTGTTTTTTTGTTGGAGTGGTTGATGGGAGAGGTGCTTCCCTTAAAAGTTAAATTTGGGCCATCTACTGGCCATGAGCAATGTCCCTACCAAAGTTAACAAAACTGGTTTCATTTTTATCTAAAGCATTTTTGAGTGTCATGTTTAATAATGCTCATATTTTCATTGGCAAACTGAGGTGAATGCATAGATCCGTAACTGGTCTAATTCTCATAATCAAATTGTGAATAACAATAAGAATTTCACCACAACAAAAGAAAGTTTTTTGTGGTTAAATCTATTGTTATTCAAATATATGGGCAGAGTAGAGATCTATCGATTAACTTTAAAAGTATATATTTTTAAAAAGATTGTTAATAATAACCATTGACCAACAATTGATATTGGAAAAAAGTTTAAAGATAAAATATAAATCTGCCTAAAATAAAAACAGACTACTCCACTCTATAAATTGAATGTAACAGGTAAATTCTGGGCCATGTGAGTGATTTATAGTTCATGCAAAGTAGATTATAAAATTAAAAGGAATTAAATCAATTATTACAAAATGTACAGTAAGGTTATTTTGACTTCGGAAGTTCCCCCTGTTCACTCACTATGTACCCTTGGATAAGCATATAAATGTACTTTTAGCTAGTCCATTAGTTTAAGTTATATATAAATACAGTGAATTCTTGATATGTACAGGATGTGGGACAACCTGGGCAATACAAACTATTGATAACCTAATCTTTTTGTTATGTGACCTTGACCTTCTATATGAATCTGAAAAAAAATCAATAGAGGTCACCCACTATCCATGGACAATGCACTACAGAGTTTCATGTACCAGTATTAAGGCTTGTAATTTCTCAATTCATTGACCTACAAAAATGTATCTATTTATATAAGGATTATGTATACATCACTCTGACCTTAACCATTGACCTCAAAAATCATTAGAGGTCATGTACATGCCTAAGACAATACTTCTATTAAGTAGTACTACTATTAAGTTGAACAAATTTAGACTTGTTGTTGTTTTTCAAGTTACTGATAACAAGGATTTTACACAGTATAACTGTGAATTTGGCTAAGAAGTCTGACAAAGAAAAATCATAAACTAGTCAATGTGTTTACATTTAGCTATGAAAATCCAGAAATGAAATGTGTGTTTTGGGGTATACACTTGAGCACTGCCCATGCATGAATTATATACGGGTTTTCTGATGGACCATAAGGTGAAAATGGATGCTACAAACCTAATATCAAAACTCTTGGCATCGCAATTTCTGTGATGGTTTTTTTTTTCAAGCTTACATTCTTAGTCTATTTTTGCAGCTTTATTCTTGCATCTCAGACAGGATTATCTACCGTTTACACAGGTGCTAGAAAACTCTGTCTTACACCCCCCATGTAAGACAGGTCGCGTGCTTTAAATGACGTCATTGACCTGCGCCTTTTATGAATGAATCGCGTTCTTAGGATGACGTCATTTTTCCGTTATGAATGAAGTTGTAAGTTCATACGCTACTATAAGAAAAAAGTGCGTAATGAGAATATCAGTTTTCATAATTTCTGTTCCGAAAATAATTGACATGTAATATGCAAGAAAAAGAATCAAACACCGGCTGTTGGTACAGGCAGGAATATCTAGCTCTCGTGTAACTGTTAAGCGGAAACTCGGCAGAGCCTCGTTACAGCCGTAAACAGTTACCCTCGAGCTAGATAT